TTGAAACGTTAGGGAAAAAAAACGATGGGGCAATTAGTCATACCTGGCAACTTCTGGAGAAGATATAAGAGAAGCCCACGCCATTCTGGCGTATTGTTTTACTGACTCACTGTGCTCACGTGTATACACTCCAATCGACTCGTTTTCCCGAACCAGAGTTATAAGTCACGCTCAATGGAGTGCAATTTCAACTGAAGCTGACATCGTACACTTCATCTGAAGAAGAAAACATTCTCTATCTTCGAAAATTTTCTCTAGACACTACGAAAAACAACCGTCCCAAGCTGTTTGAAGATACTGCTGACTAGTATGCGTGTTGATCGCTTTGCAAGCTGCGAGAACATCGTCCCCAGGTTCTAGACCAGACCTCGTCTGGTCTCTTTTCCCCTTGAAGAAACTCTTCTACAGCCTGTGCTGAAGAGTTTTATTACAGTTTTTATTCAGTATAATGAAGGGCTGGAAAATAAACTTACAAGAGCTCCGCTTTTAGGCTTGGCTAAATCTATATATTATAGTAACGACATGCCAAACTGTAATCGTTCGTTATCGATCAGATGTAAGAATGTATGCTGATGACACTTACTTATGCAGCTAAGGACCTTGAAAAGCTGTTTACAGTCCCTTATTAATGGCTGACGTAATCTCAAGGAATGACTTGATTCGTCGAAACCGAGTGATTGTTCGCTCTTTCATCATAGCTCTCAGGGGGTTTATTTGGAGTCACTGCGAACTTGTCACGCAACGCTGTTGGCATCAACTTCAATAAACACCAGTTCAGGTCACAGAGACCTAACCTAAAGCATAAATACTCTCACAACAGCCTGCAAGCAATTTTACGTGCAACAATTACAATCTTTCATCTCCTTCTCCGATAAAATTGCCAATTGCTTATGGAATTATGAAGTGTACAGTAGGGAGAGCCTTCATTAAAAGAGGAAAGTGGAAGCCGTTGAGGTTTTTCAAATAATTTATATGATGAATCTAAAATTTGCACTCGTTTGGTTAGTCTCGAATATACAGAAAGCCGTTTCAAGGACGATAAAGGGTTGATTACTCTTCTTCTTGGCGAAAACTCCGCACATTCGAAACGCTCCGAACCTATTTCTCAAGTAATATCAGTTCGAGTTTGTTAGGCCTATTAATGAACAACATCACTTCGACTAACGCTAAGGTTTCCGGCCTACTCGGGAATGCTAGCTCCGACAACTACTGCAGTTACAACAAGCATTCGCCAAAACTTATTGCATCTACCATGAGAGGTACTTTTTAAATCCTCATCACAGAAAATTATTTCCGTATTTCAGTGTTATTTTGATCTTTGTTAGATTCGTTAAATACGTCTTACGTTGTACCGTGTTTCGAAGGGAATCGGGTTAATCAGAACAAACGTAAACCAAACAAATCATACACGTTATCTGTACAAGAATCTCACAAGACCGTTATTGGCTTTTCTTTGAAATACTTCGAATGAATCGCTCAGCCCTCACTTAGTCTGTTGGAGTAAGGAAAATGAAGATTCTTGAACATAGTATGTTTTCGGAAATGTGACATGGAATTAACATTCTCGCTTTAAATTATGATTGGTTTTGGTTTCATGGCATCTGTTACGAGAAACGCATGCCTTTACTGCCTTAATCTTACTTAGATTGGCCTACTACTTTAAAAAAAAAACTAGTTCACAAACCTTCATCGAAATTTTCAAGGTTTCAAACAGACACAGCGCCCGAAGAGCTTGAATGCGATCCGCGAATAACCACCGCTTACTACCCTTTACGGTAGATTAGAATCTACCACAGGCTTCTGGGTATTTCACATACTTTAGCACTTTATACAGAAGCAAAAAATACTTTTACAAATTGGGAATTTGTTTGCTATTGAGTTAGAAAAAAAATTTAAGTCAACTTATGGTCGAGTAATTTCGCAAAAAATACGCTTTTAATCGTGGAATTACTCGACTTAATACAAAGAAGCAAGGACACAAGGTTAGCTCCTGTGAGTATCTATCAGTAGCATGTAGCCTGAAATTAATCGTGTCCTTCCCAGTAAGGCTTCCTTTTTTAGAAAATATCGGGTGCTGTTGACGACTGCGCTTTTGAATCATTTTGTCGAAGTTGCAAGCCAGCATTTCCACAACAACCGAGGCGAACAAATTAATTTGTCGCTGAATCAGAAATAAACAACTAGGTACAATTTCCGAGAATCAAAACACAATTAAAATATATGAGGGAGCAATGCTTATCTTATAATTCCGATAAAATTGAGAAAAAGAAAATTTATTATGACCCTGTCATTTAACAGTAGTTACTTAATCCGTAATTCGTTGTACGTTTCCTCGGCCTCTTTGTTATGATAGGGAACTTGTTATAAGAATTAAGGGAAAAAGAAACGACAAAATTTGGAATTAATTTTAATTTTTTCCTTTTCGTAATAAAAATTATCAAAAACATTTTTCTCTCATAATAACCTTCACCTTTTCAGAGGAAAATAGTAATTCTTAGGGCTATGTTTTCTTACGCTTTCTACTCCATTCTTTCGAACTACAAGAAATGGTCTGTCTCACAAATCATGGGGGCACCTTTTCTTCGCACACAATCTCGAGTAAAGCGGCCTTAGTGCTCGGGCTATGATGAACATGCTTGCAACACGCTATTTTTCTCTGGTGCTAGAAACTAAAGAATCAATATCTGAAACTGATGGTCCTCAATATACAAGAAATGTCCGTGCTGTGATCGTGCATTTAGACGGGCTCCCGGCTCTGAGCTCCAAGCTCAACATATTAATTACCTACATTTTCTGAATTTAGGAGCAGTTTTTGAGAATTTACGAGTCCGTTTTTGTAACTTTCCTGAATACTTTTTGTTGAATTCATTCAGTTACAAATAGTATTGGAGTTGGCGGTACCAGACCACTTTTTCAAAGTGATCGTGTACAGTGTCAACTCACTATACTACCTTCCATATGATAGAACCATTTTATAATATCAAAGCGTGGGAATACTATAGGAGACTAACACTATGATCTTACATCATTTTTCCATTGACATTCTCAGAAAACAGGGAAGTCGATGATGTAATACCACAGGGACTTCCCCCAGGAAATGAGTCATCAGATTGCTATTGTTCTTAGATCATGTGAAAGTCTTGGGAAATCAGTGATCTTTACAATTACATATTAAAACCTGATTTTTTTTAAAGAAAGATTACCAGTGAAGTTTGTCAGTAAAATTTGTCAGTGATGTTTACTTTCGGATTTTGTGATGTCCATAGGCCTAAGATGTTATACCATCTTCGTGAATGTATCATTCAGCTTATAGCTTAAGAGTTCTGATAGCTTTTTGTCTGTTGTTTAGCAATGCGTGTTTGTAGTCTTTATGTTTGATGTCTTTCTTTATCTTTTGTAAGAGTACATTTTTGATCTTAGTCCGACGAATTCAATGATTGGTACACCAGAAGCCTCGCATTTGAATTTTCCAATCACTTTGTAATGGGGCGGACGCTCACATAAATCAAATCAACCTTGAACAACGCCAACGCCATTCTATTGTTCTAGTATTTCGATAATCCTTCGATCTGGCATGTTGCGACTAACACGTGTCTCGTGGCCTAATGAAACCTAATGCCGACAATTCCATGGTATGTCACACAAAACAAAACAAAAGGGTATTAAACGTCACGCAAATCCCAACTAAAAATAGCCTTCGTTATACACTTTCTTATTTGTTTTATCAAAATATGGAGAGCTTTCTGGATAATCATTATTATCAAATTTATCTTTATCATTTCAAAATCTCTGTACAAATCTTCGGTTTCGATTCCATATGTTAGAATGTCTGTGTCGGTGAAAAGTAACCTTGCTTTGTTGTTATACTTTTTAACATGATTATAATGGAAATCTTAAAATTAATGTCTTAGAAAGATTAAGAATACACATCCCTACATATGCCGGCGTTTATAGAGTGATTGATTCTTTGATCTTATAAATAGCTATTAGATTCTCAATAAAAATTTTTGATGGCACCAAAGAATGCCTTCGAGCTATATTTTGATAATTTTTTTCATCAGTTACAAGTTTTACATATACTCTATTGCCAACGTTCTACATAGTTTTGTCAAATACACTGTTATTCATAAGCTTGAAGAAGTCTTTTTCAAATGAACTTTTGGCATTGGTTCTCTTGTTTGTGTTAAAATCCGCGTACTGTTTTGACCATGCTGACTGATTAAATTGCAATTGGAATTTAAAAGGCAGTTGCATGCCTCGATCTTATTGAAGTGACAATAATGATTGAATTAACCGCGACGCACTCTTTTTATTCAGATCCTCCACTTCAAAACTTTCACGACGATCAGAGCTGGTTGTATGACTATTCAGAAATCAAAACAGGTTTTTATTTGCACAGGGCCACCGGTTTATCGGAAATGCGTGAATCTTTTTAAGTAATTCTGCATTCACCCATGCCTTTCACGTCTCATACCAATTTCACCTCGTCAATATTTACAATAATATGTGTCACTGACGTCGCCTGTCAATTATTGTGTCGCCGAAGTCGTCAGTTAACAATAAGATAAGCATTGAATTAGGTATAAATCGAAATGAGAAGAACAGTTGAAGCCGACCTTTTCCAATGTACCTCTCGAAATGAGTATGGAGAACAGCGTATCCCGAAATATACAAATAAGAAGTGGTGTGTTGTCTATGCTTAATGCATTAAAATCGTTTCGAATTTATCAATCAGTATTTGCTTTGAAGTGAAAATACCAAGCAAAAGCTGTCGAGAACATCTCAGAATTCTACGTAGTCCTGAGGAGCAATTAAAATGCAGCCGTCGATATTTCAACTGGGAAAATTAGCGAATCTTGTTTGTTTCAACATACGGTTTTCCTAAACTTCCGAAAAACCATCAGCGTCTAAAATCAGTATCGTCGATTACTTCAATGAACCAGAGATTCGCTGACTTAAAAAGGTTAATTAAATCATGAAATATAGATATGCAGCCTTACCTACAATTGCATGTACCTCAAGCAGTAATAGTGAGTTTGAGGTTTTCCTTAATCCTAATATTGACAGTTTGAATGCTATCGAGTAATTGAAATATTCAGGCTTCGTTGTCCTTTAAGCAGAAGCTTCCAGTTTCTAATAAAGATGCCTTGACTCGGTTGAGAGGTGTGAATTATTTCAAATTCATTTCCAGCATGTCTGTACTGAAGTGACTCGTTACCCGACTGAGAAAGGAAACTTTATCTCCTAGCGTTTCCTATGATAAACAGCGCTCACTTCAATTTAACTAGCATTATATTTAAACCAACAATTAAGCCCTGATCAAATTTCCTTTTCTAAGAAATGTTGTTTTCTAAGCTGTTTCTTAACATCCGGGGAGTTCTATATAATGAAACAAAACACTTAAAGTCTGGTTCCACAAAAACTGTTCACTTTGTTTCGGAAGACACCAGTCAATGAGTAATTTGTTTCTGTCACAAAGACGAATTTAGAGGACGAAATCCACAATCGAATCGAATATTCTTAAATAGCATGTTAGCCTTTAAATGCGAAAAATACTAGAATGCAAAAATGTCACTTCCACGTCACGCCACTTTTAAACACGTTCTGTTCACGTGTAATTGCGATCGTCGGTCAACATTTCTAAACAGTTTCATCACAAGAATTCTTCCAACTCTGAAGCAACAGCATGCATCATGGTCGCAACACAACAAGTGAGTCATTTGTATCCTGTCGCGGTCGAGTGAACGTCTTTGGTGGCAGCGAGTTGGCGTGAATTTCAGTAGATGGTAATGGGGATTCACTGTCTGATGTCGTTCCTTCGAAAGTTAAAAAGTGTTCACAAGCCTGCGCAACTCCTGTCATTCCTCCGAGACGAATTAGTTCTTAGGAGGCAACCGACGAGACTCAGAAGGAATCGAACCTGCTGTCTTGACTAAGAATCTGCACAAAAGGCAGCAGTTACACTCGCAGCCCAGGCGGTGTGCGCACTCTGATTGCGTTGCATCATGGTCGTAAAACGAAAAATAAGTCATTTGCATCCTGTCGTGGTCGAGTGAACATCTCTGGTAGCAGCAAGATAGCGTGAATAAACGTGGAATTTAATGGGAATTCACTGTCTGTTGCCGTTCCTTCGAAAGTTAAAAAAGTGTTTGCGGGCCTGTGCGACCCCTGTTATTCCTCCTTGACAAATTCGTTGTTAGGAGGCAATTGAAGAGATTCAGAAAAAATCGAAACTGCAGTCTTGCCCGAGAATCTATTTATTTGACAGCAGTTACACACACAGCCGATGGCTGTGTGAATAATATTAAATTCGTGAGTTATTTAACGGGGAATCGTCCCTTGATATGCAAACGCATTCCAAAGAGGCAGCGACCTTCTTATACACAAACTATTTTCCATGTCATACACTTAAACGCGTGAATACGGGATTCGCGAAAGGAGAAGCCTTACGCCTCCTAGTACCAAATTCGTCACGCTCAACGTTTATTAAAAAAACGTTTCAAATATGCTTAAAGAATAGAGAATACCTAGAATAAGGTTTTGACAAACGTATCTCTGGAGTTATTTTCTGCGGGAGAGACTGATACTTAAAATAAAAAAATAGCGCGCACACATGAAAATATTACCTTTTGTAACACAATCTCATCCGGCTTTGCCAAACCTCAAGAACATACAGATGGGGAAATGACACCTTAAAACTAACCTTTAATATCACATCACAAATGAAAGCCATTAAAGGATATCCTAATAACAGCTAAGCTTTCAGGTTAGAAGATTTAAAAGCGCAAGCGAATGGCGGGAGTCGTTCAAGCTATCAACACCTTTAAACGATCGAATACCTTTTGTTTTCCGGCTTACCCGGTGTGTCGCCGTGCTCATTGTAGAGTTATTCATTGGACAAGTGATTCCGTTCATAGCGCAAATTTAGCTGTCCTTCATTCAATGATCAAGCTAGCAGATTTACCATACAACACTCGCGATAAGTTAATTTCCTTTTACTTAGGAAAGTAGATTTACAACACAATTGAGTATATAATAGTAACGCTGTGTAACGCAACAATAAGCCTTTTCTCGGCCATAATCGGTCTCAAACACCCGCACTTAAAATGCGGTAAACACATGTACCGTTGGAGAGCGTTTGAGAGCGTTTGGTCAGAGCTGTTAAAGAAGGATCAAAGCAGCCATCCAAATCTTTGGAAGACTCCAAACTACGACGTACATCAAATTTGACCTTCTTGAAACCCGGCCTCAAATTACATACAAAAAACAGTGATCACGTTTGTCCTTGAGAACCATAGAATACGCGACAAATACGAACAAAAAGTACTTTTACACATTCAGAATAAATCAAATTACATTTACCTATGGTGAAAGGAAAACGGAACGGCCTAACCTTTACGGAATGTTCAGTCAAAATCTGCCGAATTCTGCTGCTTTCACCGCCATATTGAAAATGAAGCTACCACAACGCAACGCATTTTCGTGTCATCAACTTGGCGTAAATAAGGGATTCGTAACAGAGGAAGCCCTACGTCTGCTAAGAACGAATTCGTCACGTTCCACGTGTAATAAAAAACGTTCAGAGTTTCAAAATACGCTTAAAGAATAGAGGATACCTATTTGAAGGTTTTGAGACACGTTTCTCTGGAGTAATTTTCTGCGGAAGAGAAAGTATACATGAAAACAACAAACGCACATGCATAGAAGAAAATTTATATTCCCTGTTGTAACACAATCTCATCCTGTTTCGCCAAACCTCAAGAGCATACAGATAGGGAAATGACACCTTAAAACCAACCCTTATTATCACCTCGCAAAGGAAAATCATCAAAAGATATCCTAATAACAGCTAAACTTTGAGAATAGAAGATTTCAAAGCCCCAGCGAATGGCAGGAGTCGCCCAAGCCTATCAACACCTTTTAACGGTTGACTGCCTTTCGCTTTCCGGCTTACCCGGCGTGTCGCCTTGTGCAATGTGGAGTTATTAATGGTCAAGTAATTCCTTTCAACTGCTTTAATTCAGTCCTTCATTCAGTGATCAAGTTAGTAGATTTGACATACAATACTCGCAATTAGTTAAATTGATTCTAATTAAGAAAACAGAATTACTGCGCGATTGAGTATTTGTAGGAAATGTTCTTAAAGTAGAAACGCTTTGTAACGCAATACACTAAGTAATACACCTTTGCGCCATAACCGGTGTCAAACACTATGACATAAAATGCAAAAAACACGTGAACCGTTGGAGAACGTTTAGTTAGAGCTGTTAAAGAAGCATCAAAGCGGCCATTCAGACCTTTGAAAGGCTTCAAACTACGACCGGTACAGCAAATGTGACCTTCTCGAAAACGGTCTCAAGTCATGTACATACCAAAAAACAGTGATTGCGTTTGTCCTTAAGAACCAAAGAATACGCGAAAAATACGTACAAAAAGTACTTCTAAACATTAAAAATCAACAAAATTTCTTGTACCTATGGTGAAAGAAAAAGTAACGGCCTAACTTTTTTTGGAGTGTTCAGTCAAATTTCTGCCACTTCCACCGCCCTATTGAAAATAACGTTACCACGATGCAACGCAATCGGTTTGCGCACACCGCCTGAGTCAATATCAGATAACATATCACTAGTAACGGGAAAACGTGACTGCGTAGGTGACACACTGCTTAGACGGCTTAGATTGTTATGTGCAGCCAGATAAAACCCACCTACTGTTTCACTTCGTAGGGGAGGGTACGGTTACACTTAGGCTACGGTAACACGCGATATAAGAATTCTGTTCGGCCGGACTCAAGCTGTGATAAATGACAGTGTGCCCAATGACAACTGCAACTAATAATACAATACAATACAATTTATTTACGTCGGTAACGTAGGGGGTGGTTACCCAATCCCCCGAGCCTAATGGCTCATGCTGAAAACGCTCGACAGATAAAATACAGATGTGTATATAAATATATGTACAAGTTAAATATATGTCTACATGACGAAAAAAAACGCAAAAATATTCACCTAGCCCCCTACACCAAATCCTAATCCTGAACCTCCCCTGAAACCCTACCAGCCCTAATCACCTAACTTGTAGCCCTAACCCTGAAGCCTAATTACCAATTCATAACCCTACCCCTACAATTGTATACTAATACACTTATTACACTTACAGCCAAGCGTATTTATGCGAGATAGGCCAGTCTTAAATTCTGCTAGAGTAGTTGCCGATTTAACTGAAGATGGTAGCTGGTTCCAGGTGTGAGAGATAATATATGAAAAAGAGCTATGAATATAGCTAGAGGTATTTACAGGCTGGGAAACATTAAGAGCAGAGGAGCGCAAATTGTAGTGACAGACCCTAGATGTGAAAAAATTAGAGATATACGAAGCTCACTGTAGCCTGTATGCCTTGAAAAACATGATTAAAGACGCAGTAACACGTCTTTGGGTTAAGGTGTCCATACTAGCAAGCCTTAGACAGTCTTTGTACTCAGTAGCAGGTAATTTAGTGTTAACAACTGGGTTGAAAACGTAAATTAGCCACCATAAAGGGTAAAAAAAGCTGACGTTTCGAGCGTTCGCCCTTCGTCAGCGCTCTGGCGAAGGGCTAACGCTCGAAACGTCAGCTTTTTTTACTCTTTACGGTGGCTTATTTACGTTTTCAACCCAGTTGTTAACACTAAATTACCTGCTATACTCTCCCACCGACGCAGCACCACAGTTTCTTTAGAAACTTACTCCTTTATTCATTTGTACTCAGTAGATCTACCTAGATTAAGTACAGTTCTTAGCACGTAAAAGTTACATTTTCCAGCTTATTTTTCAGGGGAGTAAAGAATCTCAACAATAGAGGGGAACAGTATTCTAAATGAGGTGACACATATGTTTTGTACAAAGAGATCATAATAGAGGAAGGTATAGGACGCTTTATTCTGCGGAGAGCGGCGATTTTTTCATACGCCTTTTTTAGCGTAATTGTTACGTGATCTTTGAAGGAGAGTTTATTGTCCAGCGTAACGCCCAGAATCTTCAGAATCGGCTCTATGTCAATAACCTGCTGCGGGTCCCCAAAGAATTAAAAATTGTAGGGAACTTTTTCCAAGTACCATTGCCTGCGTTTTGGTGCTATTGATTCCTAGGTAGTTGTAAGTGAACCATTCCTTAAGCCTTGGTATATCTGCATTGAGATTAAACTCCAGAGTCATAGAGCAGACGCTAGACGAGTATTGGGTAGTGTCATCCGCGTATAGACTTAGTGAGGAGGTAGCAACACAGTAATTAACATCGTTGATGAAAATGTTGGTAAGTAAAGGTCCTAACAAGCTACCCTGCGGAAGCCCGCAGCGCACGGGCAGCCAGTTCGAGTAGGACCCATTGCATCTAACACGTTGGAATCTGTCAGACAGATAAGACTGTATAAGCTCCAGAGCCTCCTGGCGCACTCCATATGCTTTAAGCTTAGCGAGTAGCAAATTGTAGCAAACTGAATCAAAGGCTTTGGAAAGGTCAACAACCACTACCCCTATGCTTTCTTTCTTGTCCAATGCCGCACGCCAGTCATCAGAGAGCTACACGAGTGCAGTGCCGCACGAATGACCACGCAAAAAGCCTGACACATTGTCCGAGAATAACGGGGCAAATGCATGGTAGAGTTGGTCAAACTTAGCGCGCCCTTGACTGGGCGATAGTTCAATTTTATCGTTACTTCGTCCTTTTTGTAAACTGGCGAGACATTACTAAGCTTCCACTGACGTGGCCATTGGCGACATCAAAACAGTAGTTGAAGAGCTTGGTCAAGGGTGCAGCAATGCCTGATGCAGCTATCCTTAGAATTTTAGGGGAAAGCCCGTCAGGTCCAGTGCATTTCTTGGCATCCAATCGAACCAGTATATCAGCTACGTAAGACAGTGAAACATGCTCAAATGAGAATGCGAGATCGTCATGTTTACCTCTAATCAACGCAACACTGGGGTGGCTTTCAAACT